TGCCAGATGTGGCACTGGTCTGACCATTTTTAATCCCCTTCAGCATTAACCACAGCCTCTTCCCAGATCGGCCAGTGGCCCTCTTTCAAGTTACGTTCTCACACAGTCAACTTGACATTTGGACAAATTATCTCCATTCTTTTCAGGTCACAGGGTTGGTATGCAAGTTGCTGCCTCCCTTCTCACCCCAATTTCTTCCTCATATCTCAAAATTCACAGGGGATGCATCACTCTCTAATCAGATTTCCAGCTGAAGAGAGGAAGGCCAGCTTGCATTTTCCCTCAGCAGATGTCTTATGACCCAGATAGTACTGATTGCATATCTTCTGTCTGCCTATATCCTGTGCATGGTGAGATGGGGAGTGCGGGGAGACAGCTGGGACCGCAGAGCTCGTTCTGCTGCTTCTTAGTTAATCATGCAACTGTGGGAAATTTAGCTCCTCTTGTCCTCAGTGTGAGGACTTCAGCCATGGTTCCAAGACATCAGGAAAAGTCCTACTGGACTTCTTGTTTCACAGATATAAAGTGGCCCTCGGAATTTCAGTCTGCATGCCTCTTCACTCATCTCTAGCAGGACAAGCTGGCTGATGAATCATTCACAGACTAAAAATTCCTCCTGCAACTGAATAAGTCACTCAGAGTATAACGCACGCCCCCCTCAGAGCAGGAGTCAGCAGGGCTGTACCAGCAATGGATTCCTTTTTTCTAACCAGGGTCCACTCAGACAGCCAAGGACGGGTAGACTTGGTTGGGAAGGAAAAGGGAGGTAGATGTTCAGCATGCATCATGGCATCAGCTCAGTTTATGATGCCTTCACACAGAGCACGCCGGTATCTTCTATCATCAGCGTGACTGAATGTTTTCAACTCCTGTCTCCTCAAATCAGCTGCCAATGAACCAATTAAAAATATGATCAAATGTTAGGTGCCTCTCCCTTGCAATGCAGTCCCCACTGTCAGTTTCTCCATATCTGCAGTCATCCTGTCCTCTGTATTTAAAAGTGGGAGAGCTGTAATATTCTCTTTCACAGACTGGGCTTGGGAAGAGACATATTCCTCTTACATTTGCCTCATAATTGTCATGTTCTTATATTTAATTTTCCTCTGGGAAAAACAACTTGGAGATCGAACCTCAGTTTCATTCTACAAAGACCTTGGAAAAGTATTATAGGGGGCCTGGGATTTAGCTCAGCAGCATTAAGCGTCTGCCTGGCAAGCGCGAGATCATGAGTTTGATTCCCGGTACCAAATAAATAAATAAATAAATATTTTAAAGTTTTAAAAAGTATTTTAATACAGTTTGTAACAGATTTCTTCCATGAAGTCTACCAATGGAAAAAAAATGCAAGGAAGGAAGGAAGGAAGGAGGCTTTTGGTAGAGGACAGGCGAAAGAAACTCTAGAACTGTTTTTATAAGGCATGAATTTATGTAGAGTAATAATACGCTAAATAGTTGTAAGACTTCAAAGTTGAAATTCCAGTTCCCTCAAGATTTTAATACAAATCAAAGGCTTCAGCTCACAAATGCAGCATGAAAAAATAATTTTTCTTGGTTTTTTGATATAACTTAATTTTCACTTTGAGACTCTAGTAAAATAAAAATAACCATGTTTTCCAAATTTCCTCCCCTTTCACATTCATATTATGGTATTGTGGGAGGTAGGGTGGAAAGGACATCTGTCTTTAATGTCACAACCCAGCGATCCAAGCAAATTGTCACTAAGACAGCCATCCTTCTTGTCCACATGCATCTTTAGGTTGGCAGCTTCATTTTTTTTTATAACCCTCTTAAGTCCATGTATTGTACCCTGGCCACATGGACCCACAAGGAGACCCTGAAACACAAGGGATCCATGGCCTGGAGGGTAAGGTGCTTACAGTTCCCCTTAGGAAATGCACAAATCTTTGTTTCGCTGCTTCTCTGGGATTTGCCTGAAAGGCAGCCTTTGGACTCATCTATTCAGAAAGTACAAATATCTATACTCTTTTCTTCAGCTTCTCTTCTCTCCTATTCAATAGCAATAAGCATTTTCATGGGGGAAGAGATAGTCTTGCCCTCCTCAAACCACCTCAAACTTTTAAAAAACTATTGATTATTTTGGATCAGGCAATTCTTGTTGTGGAGGGCTGTGAGCATTAAAGAATGTTTAGTATCACTTTAGCCAATAGCCCCTTCCAGTTCTTGACAATCATTACCAATAAACAATCTTGGCTGAACCCCAGTCCCCTCTGTACTCCTAAAACCTAAGCTTTGACACACAATATCTAGGAAGAGACTCATGGAAATTTGCTTTCCTTCCCTACAATGAATGCCTCGTCTTCTTCCTAAGCAGTTCATGTAAATGTAAGGAGAAAAGATCAAAGCACAAGCATGCCTGTTAATCCTGATAGTAGACTTCACTGGACTGAGATATGCCTAGCAGTTATTAAAGCGCCACTGGGTGTGTCTGTGTGAGATCTAGGTGTGGCCTTGGGTATTACATATGGACCCTTACCTATTCTTTTTTTTTTTTTCTTCTTTAATGTAGGAGAAATATACTACCACTCAACCTCTACTGTAAGGTTGGCAGCCCTGAAAACTCCTTTTTTTAATGTGGCATGTGATGGATATATTCCTGCTCCACAAGGAATGAGGAGAAGGCATTTCCACATGCCAGACCCTTACCTATTCTTCTTAGGTGCTCTTCTCCTGCTGTGCTTCCTGGATTCTGCGAACTCAGCAGCTTGGTTAAACTGTGCCCTTCTGCCACGATGTCTCTGCCTTGAAACCTGTCAGCCACATACTGAATCCCCTGAAACTCTGAGCCCAAAACAAATTTCTCATCCTTTACATTGTGGGTGTCAAATATTTTGTCCCACTGGTGGACAAGCTGACCATTCAGTAGGGGATGTAGTTAATACTTAAGGAACATAATTCCACGTGTGTTGTATTTCTTCACCTCTTCCCTTAAAATACACTCCATGTTCATTCTATCACCTCCTTTGTGTGTGTTACGTTTAGTAAATATGGACTGCATTGAATAAGCGCACAAAGAGAAATTGGAGTAGGAAGGAGAAAGATGCAGCCATTAAATTCTGATCCATACGGTGGAAAAAAATTATTCTTCACATCTAACACCCACTTCTGGAACCATGTTTCTCAGTATTGAACTTCCGGTCCATGTTTAGAGCTTGCCCTCCGTTTAGGGGATTAAAGCAATTTAGACTTGGGTGTTTGAAGAGGAAGCTGATCAAAGACCTCGCATGTGTATGCCTTTAACCCTGTAGGAGTCATTCTGAGAAAATCAATAAGAAGCAGAAATAACTGCACTGACAGCAAATTTTTCATCACCTTGTATGTAAGGGAGACTTCACCAGGGCCCCAGGGGCTGCTATCTCTAATTTTCACAACCATATGTGGGGGAGGGGACAATCGCTGTTGCATAATTGCTGTTGTATCATCTGCTATACGTTGATACATTAGCAGGCTTTGGTATGAAAGCTGTAGCCCTTTTCACCGCAACTTAGCATAAACCAAGCTTTATTCCCTAAGCATCTCAGACCTGCATGCACACAGGTGTAGATTGGCACAGAGCTCAGCATTACCAAGCCAGGGTGGGGCAGTGGCTTCTCTCCAATGGAATCAGACTTATACTTGAACTCCAGATGTTAATTCAGGGCACCAGGTGGTGAACCTAGGATTTCCTGCCTAAGGATGGGCCACTTTGGGTTTCTATGTGTGTGCTTAAGTCCTCTATATATCTGCTTTACTCTTATGTCACTGACATAAGTAAATTATGTGCATTTATGCTTGGATATGGCTTGTAAGTTTGCTGAAAATTTGAACGTTCTTTTAATATCTAAATAAACACTCTGGTTTAGATTTTCTCTCTTCAGGGATTTAAACAGTCCTTTAATGTTATGTCCTGCCCCAAGGTGCCATCATCATGAATATTAATTACTGCTGGGATATCTGGTGAAAACACCAACAGAGTGTTCTAAATAATATTCCAAAGAAATTCCTTGATCACCCCAAGAATGCCAAACCTAAGGGCTAACGATGAGGTACTCTGCTCTGCATCAGAACCTATGTGAAACAGGTCATTTAATCCTCACAACTGACTATGTGCATACTGTTGTCTCAGTGGGATTTCTCTGAAAACAGAGCTTGAGACAAGGGCTTTTGAAAGTGGTACATTTGGAAGGTGATCCCTGAGGCCATGAATAAGGTGGAGAAAACAAGAAGGGAGGAAGGGCCAATGTAAGTACGTGTTGTTCAGGTACCATGGTTGGCACAGCGTCTCAACTCTGCTTAATCTCTTGAGAACAAGACAGATGTCTCTCGTAATCTCCAGTGGGAGGGCAAAAGTGGGATACCTATCCACTAATGCTCATGTCCCACACAGTCTCAGAGGTAGGGGCTCTCTCAGGACAAAAAGCAGAGAAACTAAGCCTTGATTGCTCGAAGGAAGTGAATAGACGCAGTCAGAAAAGCACCACGCAGACATGGCCAAAACCAGCTCAGAGGTGAAAGAATCAGGGCACCAGCAGCTTCTGTCATAATCTCTATCCTCCGCACCATCCCATCCTGGAGACGAAACCAAATGCATGGCAGTCACTCACTGGTCAAGGTCACAAAGCCAGTTAGTGATGGAGACAGGATTTGAACAGGGGCGGTCTGACTTAGACAGGAGCCCCGATCCCTCACTGCTGTACTGCTGACCACCCTTCCTGAGTGACCAGAGGGCCTTGCACCACTCTGCCCTGTGCAGTTCCACCCAGAGGTTTGGGCAGTCAACCATCAGCTCAGGGCACAGTCTATCTTAGTAACACACGCTCACATCCTGCAGTTTCTCCTTTGGGAGCCAGTTTTCTTCCCATTCCAACAACCCACGGTGATGCTACTACAACACTACATCTGCACTCGTAGGAGAAAACTCAGTATTCTTCACTGAGACTACGAAGGAAGGAGAGGTCCAGATTGCACATCTGTTGAGAAAGAAAAAACATAGCTCATACAGCTTTTTAACTGCTTTTACATTTTTATTAAAATGTTGTTCTTCAAAGGGTATAGAAATACATTTGTTGGAAGTTAACCATCTGCTTCAAACATACATGAGAAATCTACCCAACCAAATTCTACCTCATCAGAATTTATTTAGTTTGCATACACACATACTCACACACATTGTCAGGACAACACCAAAGGACTACATTTGACAGGCTGGATAGAATTTCCTGGTTGCTTTTTTCTTTGATAAAAGTTGCAACAATTATGAAAGCTTTGCAAGATAGATTTGAAGGGCTACAGCCTAAATAGTAGGGCCAGAAGCAACAGGTGGCAGGCACACAGGGTCCAGGAAGCAGCAGAGCCTCGAGAGAGGTGCTGGTCCTGCTTCTTCTGTGAGCAATCTACACTGTGAGGGGACACACACAGGGAGGAAGGTGCTCCTACTCTGGGGGTGAGGATCTTTGGGCTCATACTCAGGAGTTTCAAGACACCACACTCAAGAGAAGAAAAAGGAAACTCCTCTCTTACAGGCTGAGCTTCCTCCAAGGGACAAGAGCCCTGCACAGCTAAAGGAGGGGATGTGTTAGGATCACGGCCTTGGGCATGTGGGAATCTACCTGTGACTCCCACTTTCTTCCTTTCAAGCTTGCTCAATGGATCGACAGACCATTAAAAAGAACAAAACACCCTACAGCAATGACTGAGAACCTATAGCATGTGCGCCAGAGCTGTCTGTTATCACTGAAAGCTCTAAAAGGTTCACTATCACTGTCCTAGAAAGAAAGACAAGGTTGGCACTTGATTTGCCATCATTAGGGATAAAATACTAGGTTTGAATTCAGCCTGGTGAGATCAATTCCAGAGCAAACTCAAACTGCATGTGGGAGTCTCCCCCGGAACCAGGGAGCTGAGGACACTGCCCTCCCTCCTCCAGATACTCTGGCTCCTACTAAAACTTCCTTGGGAAGAAGAAGGTGAAGAGCTTGCCCAGGCTGGGTGTTGACTTGGCAGCTTACAGTGATTGCATCTTCTTGTTCTGTACAGCTCTGTGAGAACCAAAGTTGGACCACACACTGAATATGAGCCTTGCAGTCTTTCAGACAGAATCACCTTTCCTAATTAGGCAGTTTAGCCTGATGGATGTTTCCAACAGACCCTGCTCATGCTAACTTTGCATTTCTAACCATCCTGTAATTCAAAAACTTGAGTAAAGTGGTTTTTCCCAGATATTTTACTCATACAGATTATAACATAGCACCTTTCATGTGCGATCAGGTGGAGCAGACCACAGTGCCACGAGCGTTTGTCACACTTTTTCTCCACCTCTAAATATTTTGTTCACTTAAAAAACAAAGTGAACAAATATTTTGTTCACTTAAAGTTTAAGGAATGGATTACAGTGAAGCACTTGCAGTGTTTCCTATCTGACACCGACCATGGCTGGAGGTCCAGATGCTCTTCCTGGGGTTTGGGAAGGCCAAGAGAATGTCTAGAGAGTCAAGGACAAGTCTCCTTTAGCCCTGGGCATGTCCATTGCCATGTCTGTCACACAGGGATGAGACAGTCATTCCTTACTCATATTCCAGAGAAAGGATTGAAGGGTAGCAGGGGAATGTAAGTCATAAAGGTTGGGGCTTCCAGAGAAATGCTGCCTGATGCCACTTCCCTATCTTCTCAATATAAAAGGTTCTTATGTTTGTTACCCAAACAAGCATCTTTTTTGGCCGCTTCACTACATAATTATCTTAGGCTTTCCTTACAGCAGTGGTCCCCAGGTTTTCTGGCACCAGAGTCCTGTTTTGTGGAAGACAATTTTTCCACACACAGGAGTGGGAGAGGTGGGGTAGGGAATGAATTACACAACCAAGGTGGAGCTGTGCAGTTCTCAGTGTGTTCACACCCCGAGAGGCAGAGCCCCGTTCGTGATGCCCAGAGTGGAGAGTAGCTGTTACTACAGATGAAGCTTTGCTCATCTACTGCTATGCACCCTGGTCACACACTGGTCCCAGTTGGACACCCTTGCCTTCGAGATCTCTATTCCCTTTGAACTCAGGGATCTCTTTTCTTTGAGTATTCTCCCCTCACCCCAAGGAAATGAGAAAACCCCAGAAAATGCACATGGAACACCTACCCTGAGATCTGTTCCAAAGTGCCCAGCTTTCATCCCTCAGAGACTTACCCAAGCACATGATCTTTGAGATAAATACAGATACTCCCACAATAGTAAGGATATTTGATTTTACATAATTTCTCTTTCACTCAAAGTATGTGTTCCATATAGGAAGAAACACCCTACAGAAGTCTGCAATGACATCACAGTTCATATGGCCAGAGTGAAGGGCAGGAATATAGAAGCTCCCTGTGCTGCCAGAAACGCACAGCCCTTGCTAGGAGTCCACCTTTGGGAAAATGCTCACTTTATTGTTTCTGCTCATCTTTCGCTCCACCCTGCCCCTGGCTGCCTTCGTCTGGATCAGCTCTTCTGGAGTGTTGCCCAAGGGCGGAAGCAGCCTCTTCTTGCTGTTTCGGGTCTCTGACAGCCATTGAGGGGGCAATTCAAAAGGCCCAAAGCCAACTTTCAAGGCATGTTTGTCAGGGAATGTGTCAGCCTCCACGAGGCCTGCTGGTGCCACCTGGGATGTAGAGTCCACTGTGCCTGGGGGTGGCACATGAGGGGTCACCTGCTCTCCTTCCAGGCAAGTGGTAACTACCTCCTTGGCCTGGAAGTCAGCCAAGCCAGGGTACCTGGCTTCATTCTCTTCTTCATCCTCTGTGGGCTTAAAGATCTGCTGCTGCCCAATGTGGAACATTTCCAGGAGCTGGCTGCCTGAGCGCACGCTGGGTTCCAGGCTGGCATCAGCCACTGCGCTCCCTGTGCTCACCACGTTACGTCTACTGTACCTATGGTGCAGCTGCACCAGAGTCCCTATCAAGCACTTGCGAACGGATTTGTTCACAGTTAGAAAGAGCACGGGGTTTGCCAGCAAAGAGACTTTGGGCAGCCAAATGGCAGTGAGCAGTAAAAAGATGGAGGTGTCGGGGACATTGAGCACAGTCTGGTAGACGACCAGGGTGGCATAGGGCACGCTACACAGGATGAAGACCATTACCATCGAGAGCAGGGTGGCATGCAGCTCGGCCTCCCGCTGGGAGGCGTAGGGGATAGAGATGGTGTTCTGAGGGGTCCGGAGGGCTGCAATGATGACCTTCTTTTTCTGGCTGGCACTCAGGGCCCGGCGGATCAGGATCAGGAAGAGAAACACCACGACTACAGGCACGATGACTGTGGTGATGTTATAGACCAGGACATACACCAGGTGGCCCAAGGAGTTGCTCCAGACTTCCGTGCAGGTGGACATGGCATAGATGTCAGCCACATTGGTCACTGCAAACACAGGGATGCTGGCCACCACTGCATGGGCCCAGATGTACATCACCAGTTCCCGGGACTTGGCATCAGATATTTTTCTCTCCAGTGGATAGAGGACTGAGTAGTATCTGCATGATACACAAAAGAGGGTTAGGACACTCTGTAAAGTTAGAGGATTCTAAATCACCAGAAGTAACTGAGAGCCAGGTTCTTTCATTTTGTCTAGCATCCAAGAAGTCGAATCTTAAATTTTAAGGACTTTGGTATGCAACAAGAAGTACCACTAAACACATACAAACGCACACATGCATGCACACATGTACACACTTTCCAAAGGGGCAGGGAGAAAGTCTTTCTTCACATGACCCTGAAGACTCTCTATGAGGAAAACAAGGAAATAAATTCAATCCATAGCCTTATAAATATTATCATAGGATTAAATCCTCTATAAAGGATGTCTTTACCTGCTATAAAGCCATCTATTTTTCAACTTAAAGGTAACTCGTAAGCATTTTACATGGAATAGAGAAACTTCAGGAGAACTTTCAGAAACATTCAAAGGCAATAGCAGAAACTTTTACACATAAATATCATAAGCAGATCCACACTACTGTCTGTAAATTGTATACCGTTAATATTTAAAGCTGCTCAGGGCAGAACCCCAAGTGAAAGATGGATCTCAAAAAGGTCCCATGAACAAACATTATTCCTGATCAACAAGCATTGTTCTCATGGTAACTGTAAGAGAAACTAGTAAGTCTAAAATGCTTGCATAATTAAATTTTTATTAAAATCAGATAAGACAATAGTTCCTTCCAAGCTTTAACTTGATCATCCTATAAACCCCTAAACAGAATGTCAAGTGCACTTTAATATCACCAGTGATTTTGGAGAACAGAATAACCCTTCAGAGCTGAAAACCCATCTATCATGAAGGGCTACCACCAGCTATCAGCCATATGGTCAGTTCCTTCACATAAGGAACTGCTACTAGCTACCATCTCTGCTACTAGCTAATGCTGGAGTTAGCTTTCCAACCAGGGTTACCATCACTCATGCTTGGGACCAGTAAAATGTACCTGACCAATAATCTTGACCACCACCTCTGTACCTATTTGGTGCCAGGCCCTGGATTCACACAAACAAAACTACACAGGGATGACTCTGCATTCAGTGGGAAGAAAGACATGCACACCAACAATTTTCAACAAGGCGATGAGGGCTGTACTGGAGGCAGGAGCAGAACAAGGGGCACCAAAAGCCATCTGTGAAGTCATCAAAGAGAAAACAGCACCATGATGGAGGCTGGCAGGGAGACAGTGGAGAGGATAAGATCCTCAACTGAGACACAGGTGATGCAAGCACAAGAGTGGCCAGGATGACCAGGAGGGGAGCGAACGTGGTAAAATGTGGTCCACATTTCTTTCTAGCAAGGAAAAGCAGAGCAAGTCATGCACAAATGATGCATGCTGTCACTGTCTCTCAACACAGGTCAATCATTTCTAATCGCAAGTCCATAAACATGCAGTGGCCCCATCCACACACATGAATGCCTGCCTAAGACTCTGCTGGCTCTGCTTATCATCAGTCAGCTCACTCGCATGCCACTATCCTAGGTCACCTCAATTTTCCATCCCATTATGTATTAGGAAATAGACACAACACAAGAACATAGCTCACTACAAACAATGTTCCTAGTGCAAATCTCTAAAAGATGATGCAGGAAGTGTGGGAACCACTTAACTGGCTGCCTTGGTGCTGTGAAATGAACAGCTGCAAACAAAGTGAAAGGCTGTTTTCCCTTCATCTTCATGTGTAACGGACAACCTGCGAATAATCTGTATCTCTACATAAGAGGAATTTGCCAGAGTTAATTTTTCTACTAAAAGGACTTGTTTACCTTTTATGTTATAATGGTAACAATGCAGAAGAAAATAAAAAATGTCTTATTTGCATATTTCCTTGTCTAAGATCATGATATAACCTACAGAGATTTTTACATTGCTTCCAGGTGTAATGGCAAAATGTCCAGAATAATGTGTTCCTCCTCTTGTTTAATACTGTTTTTAAAAAACTTTCAGGATTCACAGCAGTGTTATTCATAGCAACTAAAAATGAAAACAAATGTCCATCAACTGGTAAATGGATAAAGAAAACGTGAGGCACCAATGAAATATTATTGACCATAAAATGGATGAAGTGCCGATACACACTACCACGTGGATGAACCTTGAAGACAAGCTAAGTGAAAGAAGGCAGGAACAAAAGAACACATACAACATGATTCCACCTGCATGAAACGTGCACAAAAGGGCAAATACATAGAGACAGAAAATAGATCAGTGGTTGCTAAAATCTCAAGATGGGAAAGAAAAGCAATTGCAGGGGTAGAAGTTAAAACTAAGTTGTAGTGCCAGCTATTCATCTCTATAAATACATTAAACTTCACTAATTTGTACCCTAAGCCTAGTTGAGTTTTATTAATATACAAACTGTATCTCAAAACCATTTGTTTCAAAATTTCCAGAAAAGCAGAGTCCAGGACATAAAAGACTGAAAGGCTTGAGGCTACCCAATGCTGGGTACCCCAATGCTGGAACAGAGTTAGCTACTAGAGAGGCTGAGACAGGAGGATTGCTTGAGTCCAGGAGTTCAAGCTGGTAACATAGCGTGATTCTATGTCAGCAATAAAAATAAGGCTTCATAATAGCAGGTGGTAAGGGGCAGTCAGAAGAATGTGTTACGGCATCTACCAGAACGTAAACTTGCAGCAAGGACTCTGACTTCCAGATTATGAATGATGGCAATAACTAAAATATAAGATTAATTGCCAAATAAACGTCTTTTAAAGATGGACAGAAAAAACAACAGCAGTATAAGGCTTGGAAATAAATCTTCCAGAGGAATCTGTATGTTTTCTGCTGGGTCCAGCGAGGTCTTTAATCATTAGTTAAGTAACTATTGAATTATTCCCTTCTTCCTCCAGAAATGTTTTCATGTTGTACCAAAAAATCCTAGTTGCAAAATTATAAGTCAGATGAGCTTCAGATCACAATGTGATGCCAATTCCAACCAAGCTAAAGCAACAGCGTGAACAATAGCTTGTCTTGAGCACTGTCACAATGTCACTCTCCCTAAGTCCTTTCTCAGGGGTCTTACTCTCCCTGACTGTATTTCAATCACTCCATCCCTTTGAGGCTCTCATTTTGTTTTTGTTTTTCTGAGATAGGGTTTCACTACACAGTTCAGGTTGACCTTGAACTTACTAGGTAGCTCAGGCTGGCCTTGAACTTGTAGCACTCCTCCTGGTGAGGCTCTGTTTTGAACATTCTCTTTATTCTGACCACAGTGGACTAAAAATCAGCCTATGAAACATTCACAGTTCATCATTTGTTTCACAAGGCTCATTGTTCGCTACACTTGTAAACCCTGAGTCCCCAGCTAACACATCTCACCTGTCCAAAGCAATGGCAGGGAAGCTGAGGACAGTCACGGAGCAGAAGACTTTGTGTAAAAATTTGACGACTTTGCAGAAGAACATGGTGTAGATCCACCAGCAACAGTGCGGACTGGTGCTGAGGATGATGTCGAAGGGCACGCAGACCAAGCTGGCAAAAATCCCCGAGCAGGCCAGGTTTTTAATGAACCTGTTGGTGACAGATTTGAAGACGGTTGTGTGGCAAGTTGACCATAGTACCATGAAGTTTCCTGGACAGATGTGCAAAGAAATAAAACAAAATTAATAATTCAAAGAAAAAGGAAATAATACATAATATAGGTTAAAATCTTTTAAAATATATTTGAGAGATGATTTAAACATACCATGTTGTCAGTTATTGTGAAATTATTAGGTCACACACATGAAAAAGACTAGATGAAATTTCAGAGGTGAGTTATATTTTAGGTAAAATAATATTATTATGATGCTTTAGTACCACTGGCATAGAAACAATTCATTAGGGATTATTTATTCTTAGGTAGTCTACTCTTAGCAAGTTAGGTCATAAATTCTATGCTACCAAACTGCAACAGAAACACAATAAATATTAAATGCATAATTTTAAACTTTCTAGTACCTATATTTTTATAAAGTAAAAGGAAACAAGTGAATTTTTAACCCATCCCAGTGCTAAGTACATTTCAAGATGTAATCATTACTTAAAATCCTCAACATTTTCCATTTTCTTTTATACTAAGTTTTCACAATCCAGTATGTAATGTCTTTTTACACTTAGGACACATCTCAATTTCGACTAGTCACATTTCAACTGCTCAATGGCCACATGCATTTAGTGGCTACTATACTGGACAGCAGTAGACTTTTCAGCACCAATAACACAGTCGCATTCTCCTCCTGTGCCTTCCACAAGCTGGAAATCTCTTGATTTTCCTTCCACTCTCTACATCACCTCTAGCCCCTGAGAGCTCTCTCTCTCTCTCTCTCTCTCTCTCTCTCTCTCTCTCTCTCTCTTTTCTAGGCCCTTCTCAGTCCTCTCTATGCAGCCCCTACCTAGATTAGATTACCCATTCGGATGGCTTTCCACCAAAACTTCCTATCTTAGAAGCCGCCTCTTCTCTATACTCCAGCCAAACTTCTGATTCCCTAGCCCTCTCCATTGATTATACTCACATGGTCCTTAAAGGTCATAATCTGATGGCACCCTGGCCAACCTCACACCTCTCTTCCCCTGGCTTGAAGGTACAGCAGTCACTCTGGACCTTTTTTCTGCACTTAAAACATATCAAGCATTATTAAGCCTCAAGTTTTTGTACTGCCTAGCCTGTTCTTCATATGTCTAGCTCACTTTAATCCAGATCTTTGTTAAATGTTGCTTGCTCTAAAATACCTTCCTTGAGCATCTTTTAATGTTAAAGGCTCACTGCTCCTCCCTCCACTATACTATACTGTAGAGCCTTGTGGTGTCCTTGGAAATTCTTATCGTATCCTCAAAACTTGTTTTCTTGTTGTCTCTCCATTCATGAGAGAAAAAGACATGTTAATCTTACTCAGTGTTACAACTCCACACTCAGCTCAGTATCTATCACAGAGTATGCATCCAATAAACATCTACTGAACAAATTAATCAGTACAGTGATCAAAAGTCCCTGAAGTAAGACAAACCTTTTGGTGAGACATATATCAGTTACTCAGTAGATGACAGGGCACACTCTGCGTCAGAATGACATGCAGAATCACAGTTACTAAGTATGGCACCAAGAACGTACAGTTGTAAAAGTACCCAGCACAGTCAGCCCTAGACTGAAGTTTTGGAAATGCTACTTTTAGACACACACACACACACACACACACACACACACACACACACATTGACTCATAATTATTCAGGGCAGGAGTTATTTACCACCTGTCACCGGGTAATATGCAGAACAATAATGCTGTTGTTTGAAGCTCCACTGATTAATAGCCCTTCTCCATTGAAGTACAAATAAGGGTGTGATTAAAGTATCTTTCCTCACTTACACATTGCAGACAGGGTTTAAAATCTGGCAACTATCTACTAATGCAATAGGCCACTTGAAAAAACCTCCTGCGAGAAGAGGATGTATGTCAGAGTATCTGCATAGCGTTATCACAGTCTGGGGGTTTCTCCAGTAACAGAGATGCTAAATAAATGAACTGTTTCCTTGATAGAGGTCAAACCCCTTAGAATTTTCTTTTCTCTTATCTCCATGGTTAATCTTTACAGTTTGGCAGGTTATGTTGAATAAACTATCCTAAAAAACAAAGCAAGCAGGAAAATTCATTGCAGAGAGCACACTGTGGGCCATGGTCTCTCCATCTTTTGAAACCTAACTGAGACTCATTTCCACCGTTACTCATATTCTACTTTCCCATTTACCTTTCTCCCTCCCCTGCTCCCTCCCATTTACACAGGCCCTCTCAGGAGTCTGAGACAGGCATGCTTTTTATTGTGTTTTTAAGTCCTGCTTTAGCCGTATATATAGCAACTATTTTAAGTCAAAGTATTCCGGCTGTGGGAAAGAGGACCTAATGTACCATCTTAGGAATTGTATCGACAATATAATGAACATTTTATTAGTATGTTCACATTTGTAAGTGAGGAAGCTTGTTTTCTCTTGTAGTTATTTCTTTTTCAGACATGCAGACTGCCACATGTAGTGCTGCTACTGGCTGTGTCTGGAGTCTTGGAGGCTTGACTGCCCTACGGTCTCCTACAGATGGATCCTGAGGTTGGTTGGGAGGCCTGGCCAGGAGTTAGCTCCTTTCATTCCCTTGGTGGAAGACTGGTCCTCCTCTACTGCGGAGAGTCATGCTTTCCCATGGAGCACACAGCTTCAGAAGGAACACACAAGAGGAGAACAGGAAGGAGGAGGCACTGTCCTAGATCAGCCAAATTAACTCTGCTGACCAATGAGGCATGGCCAGATCACTCTCACATCTGGGAACTTTTCACTGAATTATTATGGAAAAATAAAATCTGATAGTGCTATAATTACTTCCTCAAGGTAAGTTCTGAGGATTGAAACTAGGCCCTTTGCACTGAGCTACATCCTTGATCCACCTTCCTAAGTTTTTTTAAATTCTGAGGCACAATCTTGCTAACCTGCCCAAGCAGGGCTTGAACTTGCAATCCTCAGCCTCTAAGAATGCAGCGATTATAGGTGTGTGTTATCACATCTAGTTTGTAATTACATTTTATCTCTAAGGTTCCAAGCAATATCTAGGGACTACTCTTTTATACTACTAAGAACCTAATATTAAAGAAGCCTTTCCATCTTTTAAACCATTGTTCTCTCTTCTCATTTCAAACCAATTCATTTGGCTCTAACTTGAATTGGATTAAAATATGGTGAAAGGAGTGTCTGCATCTGATTTGTGTAGGCCATAACTGATCCTTATTGGCTGCAGTTTTCAAAAAATGTATACACACAGTGAACAACAAACCACAGCTTGTGCTTGACTGTTAACAAGGAACCCACCAGTCATATTTTTCCCCAATTAAATTTCACCTCTGCCAAATTCAGCCTTTTTTAACTGATATACAAACTTTGTATTTTCAAGATCAAAAACCCTGGTATATTAAAGAGAATAATAACCAAAATAAAAAAAGATATTTAAAAAGAGCCTTGGGAAATGAAATCCCTCCTAGGAAAAGAGATACATCACCCTTTTAAAAGTACAAGCTCTCCCAGAGACTTAAAGGAGTTAAATGCTCCATAGCTATGCCTCCACAGAAAGATAACACATCACCCAGAACATTAGGAAAACCGAAACTTGCCAAAAGCAGGTGCAAACTGGAGGTGATATTTAATTATGGGTTCCAAGAGGGAGACCTGAGAGCACAGACAACGGTTGGAGGACTCCAACGGACCTTGGCACACACAGCAAGCATCACAAGACACTAGAGGAATGTTTAAGCACGTTTTTTAAAAAACTAACCCAAAAGAGAAGAAATAATGAGCAGATTTAGGGTAGAATGGATCTTTAAATGTTTTCTTTGCTTCAGTTTGTAGTGAGGGGGAAAAAAACAAAAGAAAGAAAGTAACCAAAAACAGTCTCCTGAGTTAAAAGAATTATGTGAGGGGGATAGTAGAAAATACTTTCAATTAATCTTCCAGATAATAGCAGGAATGACTGTTAGCCTGTCTTTAGCTTTACAGTGGCTTCCTTAGAGACAGCACATTGTTGGCTCTTACTCTTTAACTGATCTGAAAGTATCTGAGCATTTACATTTAATGTGATTTTTAATATGGTTGGATTCATGTCTAGCATCTTGTTTCCTATTTGTCTTGTCCGTTCTTCATTTCTCTTTTCCTCTTTATCTTCCCGACTCAGATTTATTTTATATAACTCAATTTTATCTCCACTATTGCCTTATTATTTATACTTTGTTGTCAATTTTTTGTAGTTGCTCTATGTTTGCTACATACATCTTTAACAACAGTCTACTTCCAAACACCATTATACTGCTTCATGTGTGGTGTAAGAATCCCACAACAGCATATTCCTAATTCTTGTCTCCTAATTTTCACATATATGTTGCCTTATATTTTGCTTTTTTTTTCAGTGCTAGGGTGGAAACCAGGGCCTTGAATGTACTGGGAAAGGATTCTTACCACCAAGCTACATCCCCTGCCTCACATTTTTGTTTTACAAAAATGATATACCCACAATTGATTGCTACAATTTCTGCTGCTTTCAGCACTCAATTAAATTTTAGAGAACTTCTCCTAACAGTTCTTGCAGTGTTGGTCTGCTAATAATTAATTCTCTCAGTGTTTACCTGAAATATTTTTTTTCTCCATTTCAAAAGAGATTTTGCTGAGCATAATATTCTGAGTTGAGAGAGGTTTTGTTTTGCTTTGTTTTTTTTTCTTTGCAATTGAAAGGTATCACAATGTTATCCTTGTCATACAGTTTCAGATGATAAATTTGCTGGAGTTCTTAGCTTTTTTCTCTGTGTGTAATGGGTCCTTTTTCTCTCAAAATACTTTCAAGATTTTCTTTTTACTTTTGGTTTTAAGAAGTTTGAATATAGTGTGTGTGTGTGCACTCAGGCACACACACACAAGCATACTCACACTTTAATATAAGTTATGCTGATCATCTTGACTTTCTCATTATGGCTTGACATCTTTTATTACTTTTGGAAAATTCATAGCCAACAAATATCTCTTCTGCCCCATTTTCTTTTTTCTCTTCTGATTTGTACGTAAGATATGCA